TAGTGATTGAATAGGCGATCTGCATTATGACGTTTCTTTACTACCAAGACCAGAAGGCTGTGCGCATTTTATGTAGCTGAATTGTGCAAAATAGAAACATTTAAACAATAGAAAACAAAGGATTCTGTACTATTTTGTGCTATTTAGATTTTGTACAATTTCACGCTTTAACTGTGTTCGCTCTATCTGTTTTTGCTTACGCATCGAGCTAAATCTTTGTCAGATAACAATTTACATGAGATACGCCCTTAGCCTTGAGAGTGTCCAATCAGAATACATCAAAGGCCGTTTTCTCGGGGGTTCGAACCAAAGTAATATATTCTGAGTTACTGTCAGCAGGCAACATACTGTTAGTAGGCAATATGAGCGGTACTATAAACGATTCACAAGACGACCCCGATGTGGGGCCGTTCTTAGAAGAGCTTGGCGCCTTTTTAGTTGGCCATCTTCATCAATGGGACACGGTGGGTGTCTATGATGTTTACAGACTTTCTATGCTCTTGTTTTTATGTCCAATCCGTCAAACATTCGCTAAAACTTGTTTATTATTTTATTTTTCAGCCCCCCTTAGTTTACCACCTTTCGGGCTATCCGACCATTTAACTGTTTTTATGGGTAGCGGCCCTCGTAAAAAAAACAGGAGCTACACACAAGATCATTATGTCAAGAGAGCGCCCTAGCAAAGTTAACAGTGTTGGCCGTTTTCTGCTTGAAATTCCTTGRTCTAGTTTACTGGAAGCTCACCCTTCATGCGAAAGTAAACTTACAATTTTGACTGACATTATCAACTTTGGTTTAGATACCATCATGCCTATCTATGATGCGATCTATTAAAATTCATGAGTCTGATCGGCCTTGGATTTCTACACAGTTCAAACAGCTCGTCAAACGCCGTCAACAGGCCTTTGCTTCTGGGAACACTCCCTTGTTTAAAATCCTGCGTAACAAAGTCAACCGTAAGCGCAAACGCTGCCGTAAGCTGTATTACGAAAATAAAGTTAAAGACCTGCAAAACTCTAAACCACGTGACTGGTGGAGAGAAGTAAAACAACTCTTTGGAAACTCCAAATCATCTGTCTGTGATTTTTTGTTCATCCTCCACTCTGACCTTGTTAGCGACGAGGCGACTCTTGCAAACAATATCAATCAAGCCTTCACCAGCGTGATGTCCGATTACTCTACATTAACCGAACACGTACATGTTAACATGGCGGATGACATGCCAATTGATGTTTGTGAACTTTCTGTGTTACGCAAACTTCGTCAAATTAGTCCCGCTTGTGCTGGAGGCCCAGATGAACTCCCTAATTGGGTCCTAAGAGAATATGCTGAGATTCTATCAGCTCCTATTGCCTCTATCCTTAATGCATCATTTTCCGAGAGTATGGTTCCCAAAGTCTGGAAAATTGCTGATGTTGTTCCGCTTCCAAAAACTTCAACTGTCGTAGACATCAACAAGGACCTTAGACCTATATCTCTGACGTCCACACTCTCTGAAATAGCAGAGGACTTCATCRTCGAAAAGGCTCTGAAACCTGTAGTACTACCGGCCATTGACCCTGCCCAATTTGGATTHATCCCTGGATCTTGCACTACTTTTGCTCTTATTTCTATGTTCCATCATTGGCTACATGCTACTGACGGCAACTGTAAGAACTGCTTTACTAGATTTCCGCAAAGCCTTTGATCTGGTGGACCACCACATATTACTTGATAAACTCCTGATGCTAGACGTTAAACCTTCAGCTGTTAACTGGATCAAAGATTTCCTGAGGAGTAGAAGACAGAGGGTGAGAATAAATTATGTATTTTCTCATTGGTTGGACGTCCCTGCAGGCGTTCCCCAAGGAACTCGTTTGGGTCCGTGGCTATTATTGGTGATGATCAATGACCTTCGTCTACCTGAAGATTTCTTCATGTGGAAATTCGCTGATGACACCACCATCTCCGAAATCGTACCATCTTCCAAGTTTAGTTCCCTCCAACTCGCTACAAACCACGTCCATAATTGGTCTCAAGAAAACCATCTGCAGCTAAACCCAAGGAAATGCAAGGAATTACAGACGTGTTTCAAACGTTCTCCTCCTGAATTTGCCCAAGTCTCTATTCAAGGGGTTGAGTTTGAAAGAGTATCGACTGCTAAAGTTCTCGGTGTTGTTATTAGCAGCGATTTACATCCCACATAGAAGAAATAACTGTTAAAGCTGCCAAAAGACTTTACTTACATTCATCAAAGTTAATCATAAGTAAAGTAGACGGCAAGTATAAAGACTACTACGGCAAGTATAAAGACTACTTTGATTGAATCAGAGAAGCAGCAGCAAAGCGTTGCTATTGGCTTAATATTCAGGACAGTGATTGGTTAATTTCGATCATTCGAGTTCGCTATAAATACGCACATCGACTCAAATTTGGCATAGCTAAGTTGTAGCATGGAATCATCAAGCAGTAAAGAAGCCTCTACGCCACCAGTTACTCCTCCGGTAACTCCGCCAGCGAAGCGGAGGAAGCAAGACGTCGAGCAACTGTGTGAAAGCATGCACCACACGCACGTCGAGCCAGCCCCTCCTCTAGTGCGCTCAAATGCACTAAGAGGAGAGGCTCTTCTCAAGGCTTTCAAACAAGAAAAGTAACTTGCTCGCCGCCGCTTCAATGATCAACAGCTCTTTTAGGAGCCACCACATACATAAAAGTATGGCCAAATGCTTATTGTAATTCATTAAAATGATATTATACTGGCTTCAGTTACATCTGCATGGCTATCAAATTTTAAAAATATGCATAAAATCATTAATGCTATTGGGCTTGCCGTGGTGTTTGGTTTATCTCTACCAGAGAGGTGCTGGTAGAATTTTTTCACTACTCTCCAAACATGAATTTGTTTTAAAAATCATCCATTTATAAAGCCTGACAAAGATTTCTGTAACTAAACAATTATCAAACGCATTAATTGGATGTAGTTCCTGATATTTGAAAGAAAAAAATCGGGATCTCTAAAGAATATACCCTCTCATCCC